TTCTGGGAGTTGAAGTCCACTCATCTTAAAGTGGCCAAGTTTGGACAACACTGAATTAAAGCATGGCCATTGCATTACTTCTCCTCTAATCATCATGTCCAGGGGTGGACATCTTCATTGGTAGAATAGCTACACCTTTTGTGCTGATGTGGCAGACCTTATAGCTAACGCTGACCTTCCTTAGCATTCCTCCATTCTTACCCTCATCTCTTATTGACGGTTGGCATTCTAAAATGTTCAAGCCACTCAAATTGTACGTTACTCTCTCGACCTTCCGGAAGGAAGGCCTGACCTGACCATAAAGGAGGACCTAACCTGGGGCACTCATATTGCAGCCTTGGTGAAGAGGGCCCAGCAGCGATTATATTACCCGAGACTTCTCAGGAAACAACAACTGAATGGAAAACTGCTGGTGACCTTCTACCGCTGTACTAGAGAGAGCATTTTAACCTACTGCACCTGTGTATGGTTTACTAACTGCACAGTGGCAGATAGGAAAGCGCTCCAGAGGGTTACCACCATTGCCCAGAGGATCAATGGTCGCCCTCTCCCTTCTTTGGAAGAACTTTATAGTTCCCGCTGCCTTAAGAAGGCTCAAAACATTCTTAAGGACCCATCCCACCCGGACATTCTGTTTTTGAACTATGACCATCTGGGAGACGGTACAGGATAATAAAAACAAGGACAAATAGGCTGAAGAATAGCTTTTATCTCAGAGCTGTAACTATACTGAACTCTACCGTGTAGCGCAGTATTAATGTAGCATCAGGGGTTGTGCAATGGTGAATGGAATGTGAAGGTTGTGTTTTATGGGTTCTATGGTTTTTATATTTCTAAAGGCGCACTGGGGTGGCCCTTAATTTCGTTGTACAGGAAGTACAAGGACAATAAAGATTACAAATACACAAACAAAAGGGGTGAGGACCTGACTCTGCCAACTCATGTGGGGTGAGAAGGGGGGCACCTTTAAGATGCTCCTGTAGGTTAATAACTTTGGAAGATATTACTATTTATGTATGAATATGGTTTTTATGGTATTTTACATGTATTTTGATTAATGTTGATCCTTGCTTTTACCATCAACCAGCCAGAAGTGCTCCCTAGTGAGATGGGCAGTGACCAAAATTGAAATATATATATATATATATATATA